AGTAATATTACGTACTTACTTGGAATGTTCGGTGTCTCAGGTGGAACGAATGATACGAGGGAATACATTGAATTTGTCTCCTTCGAACTCAACTTTATCAGTAAACTCAAGGTGCGGAAAATGGTCAAATATTTTTATCAAAATTGAAACGGTCTAATGTTTTTTGTTTTGTTTTGAAAATACGGAAAACTTTAATGCACGTTAAGTGACTCACAGGAATTTATCGCGTCCACTCCCCCCCCCTCCCAGACCTTTTCCAGTCTGTGTAGAGAGTCATTTAAACCTACCTTACATTGTTATTTTTGTTATTCAGTGGGAAAAATTAAATAGTCCATTACATTAAAGTAGTCAAGTTAATATTATTTACAAATAGCAGAATGTTTCTTTCTTGAAAATGTCGCGTAGTTCTAATGAAGACATATATGTTAATTTTCCTGCAGTTTGCGGATACCAAACATTCTCATTTCTCCTTTAACGTTGACTTGGCCGTTGTACATAACTCGTATATTTGTGTGTGTTGTGTGAAGTAATATTTTTTGGTCGTTTTGAATTGCTGGTAAGATCATATATGTTCGACGTTGTTCATTACTAATTCACACTTTGTCAGGACGCAATTTCAAAAAAGGGTTAAGTGATATTGCGGTATATGAAAATGTCAGAAATTTGGGTGTGATATGTACAATCAATCAATTCAACTGAGTTTTATTGGAGGATGCAACACGTAGTACAATTAAAGATACTTAAATAAGGAGGCCTGCATAGGTTTCCAGTATTGAAAATACTCTGATAAAGTGGCCAGGCAATATTCTGACGGCTAAATCTCGAATATTTAATAGATAGGCGGATGAAAAGATATTCGTAGATCAATTAAATTCATAAGTTTTGTTACACCAAGAACGTTCTAACTCCATGTGAACTTAGTGAAAACCCTTGTAAAAAAACTTATTTGTTGTATATTTTTTCATATCACAGCAAATTTTGAAGTAAATTGAAAATAAGTGCTGAGAAAAAACAACTAGAGTAGTTATCATTCCTGTCGTCGTCGTGTCGCGTCGCGCCGGGCGACCTTCGGAGCGTGGAGAGTCGAGCGGTCGTCTGCGGAGCGGAGCGCAGCGCTCGCCGCGTCTGTCGCCCATCCGTCGCGCGCGTCCCTCGTTCGTCGTGTCGTGTCGTGTCGGGCGGCGGCGCGCGGACGCATGTCGCTTGGCGGGCGGCGTGACAGGCGCAGCCCGGCGCCGCGACCGCCGGCGACACGCAAGACCGGACGCCCAGGGCGCCGGCGACGCCCGGGTCTCTGCTCGACGACGGCGTCGCTCAGCTGTTCGGCGCGCACGTGCCGCCGCCGCCGCCGCCGCGCGCCGGCTTGTGCATTCCTGCCCGCGCTGTAGCCCCTCCCCCCCCCCCCACGGAGAGCAAGGAGGCTTGGCTTGGGAGGCGGGAGTTATTCAGTGTCAACGCAAGTTTATTGGTATGTGCAGCGCCGGTGCTAGGCAATGGCTGACCGGGTGATTGCCCGGGTCCCCGTATGTCAAGGTCCGATAAGTCAAGCGACTGATGGGAACAAATTAGTAAAACATGGGGGGAAAAATTAGAACCAGACAAAATCGTTATAGTAATTTTGTAAGTCGCGGTGCAGTAGTGTGATATGTAATAAAATTTTCAATTAATATTTTATATTAAATAGTTATAGTCATACGTATAAGGTAGAACTCAATGAAACGAAAAAAGTAGAGGAGAAAATTTGAAGGCTTAAAAAGCTTCAAAATTTTTTAACTCAAATTTTTTGCAAAATTATATAGAATTACATGTTATGTAAATTATGTATTATATATAATACAAATATTGGCAAAGTATTTTAACTCAAGTTTAAGACTGAATATCCCAAATTGAAATAAAATAATTCTTGATACAAATTTAAATTCTTAATTTTTTCGGGAGGAAGTGAGCACTACGTTTCAGAATAGCCCTGGGCTCAAAATAGTTTAGCTCCGGCACCGAGTATGTGGGTTTCAGAATAAGTGTCCATCGGTGTCTGTGGGTTTCAGAATAAGTGTCCATCGGTGTCTGTTTCAAAATGTCACCGTTTATGTACCGATGTCTGCGTGTTTCAAAATATTTATCTGTTGAAGTCTGTGGTTTCAGAGCATCGGTATGTGTATATTTCAGAGCATTTGTCTATCGGTGTCTTATGCATGTGTAAGTTGTTTTTCATCAGTTGCATATACCTTCTCAACATATCTACTTAATTTATATTTTGTAACGCTTCCACGAAACGTCATTATTTAATTATTTTTAATTTATTTCCGAGTTTCAAGTTTGTCAATAGTTACAATAGGAACTCAGTCATACAATAAGTTCAATTGTATTTTTTTAACTGTTGGACTTCTGGTTCTAAAATAGTGACAATTTTGGTCCCTAATTTAATGACATCAGTGCACTTTTATCTTTTATCATTTAATGACACGGCAGTCTCTTCGTTCAGAAAACAAATCAGTCATGATATTCGTGTGGTCATCCTCAGGATTTGTGCTGGATAGATGATGTGCGTGGATGTGACAGATGAGCATACTACTGTTTTTTTGCACCTTCCCATTCACTGAATGCTTTACAGGTCCCAGTTCCTCGGACTAATGTCATATCTTGTCTTATTATAAAAAATGTTGTCGCATCAATACGTGAAACAAAAACGAATACATTTTCTTTCTAATGAGTGTGTTGTCATAATTTTAATACGTTTGTGCCCTTGCTTCGAAATTTTGTTCACCCCCTTGTTAATCTAAACAAGTTAATTGTCTAATGATATTCATCAATTAAGTAATTGAATTACCAATACTGATCTCTATGCACAATAGTCTCAACAACACTATTGTTCTCTCGATTTGTATGGAAATAGGGAAAGAAGTGTGATGTATAAAGGTATAAAGGGTATAAAGACGTAATCAAACGCTGTAAGCAAAGTATGTGCCCTTTTCGCGCATTAAAGACGAATGCCAGAGAATATATGTCCATACTGTCATAAATGATAAAAAGTTTCGGAGTATTCAATTTATTGCCAAAAGTCCTAAATATCTCTTGCAACATTTCATTAAAAAATAAATTAATGGTGTGCAATAAAAACTATTTCTTAGATTGCATCTTTTGCTTTTTCTCGAAAATAGTTGGGAACATTCGAATCAAAAGTTGAAATCATGAACTAAGATTGTAACCACAATGCAGATGGCAGTAATTTGTCGCAATCTGTGTCACGGTCTTTGAATTTAGTACAAATAGTTGACAACTGCGTCACGAATGTGAGAAAAATCTTGGCCGTCTTAGAAACGGTCCAGTTTTCTACGAAAGCTTAAATTTGCATTTTACCTTGTTAGTTCACCTTTTTTATGTGAACACAAAGCTGATATTTATGAAATAATAAGAACTGAATTCCTCAAGTTACATTATGTATATACGCCAATTTACTGATTGCGGGTGGACCAAGGCGACATAATTAGAGATAAAATGGGAAGCTAATTACTGGACAGTGGGTATAATGTTTACGATATCAAAGCCTCTCATTTTTCACTTTATTTTCTTCGCGCGCTTTTTTATTTTATTATCTTCTAATCTATGAACATGAACTTAACCCTTCTTCCGCCCAACAATCCAGATAAATTATATAAAGCAGGGTTCCAGGCTGCGTCGCTGTGCAAGACGAATTGTGGTTGACCAAATCAGCTGTGAATCAGCGTCTTATCTCCCCCATGGAGCGTTGGAAGCCAAACATGTCAATTACGTATGTTTTACAAATAGGAAATGTAACATTTCCTCTCACAAGTTACAACAAAAACACCTGGCATTCGACTCGTAAGTAAATTATGAAGTGGTTTAAAACTAAACTAACTATATATTTTCATTATTTCATAATGCTTATGATGGAATTAACTGTCAATTTTAGTTTGGAATTAGTGGCGGGAATACACGAAGAAAATATGTACAGGCAAAAATGAGAGAAGAATAATACTTTCTTTACTATATAAAAAATACTATCCATTCTTCTAGGAATGCTTTTACTTTACGTATTATTTGTAAACGCATCCAAAGCTTAAATTGCTTGTGAGGAAAAATAAAACACAATTTCATGAGAAAAGCTGCATTGTAGCAGATTCAACACATGTTGTACAATTTTCCCAGATAATCACCTCCAGAATTGAGACATTTGAAGCATAGCGTAGATTAAGATGTATATCCCTGCGTCGTTGAAGTCTGACACCTACCTGACACGCATAAAATTATGTAAGTAATGTTTAAATATTGATTTTGTTTAATTCAGTTTAAATTAATTTACAGTAATTGCTTACATTTTATTATATGTCAATGTTACATTACATTTCCGTCATTCGATGGAGATGCAACCTCCAGTCTGTTAGGGCACCAGTCACCACTGTTTGATCACACGTTGAACTTTACTGTGCAACACGAGAATTTGCGAAGAGCACTTCAAAACAAGCGGTGCCAGATGTTCAGTGCAGGTGTTGTCTTTCTCCATGATAGCACTCGGCCACACACGACTCTGTTCACGGCATCATCTGCGGCAAGGTGGCGGGGATGGGTTTGACCAGCCACTCGACAATTAGGAACCCCCCCACTTTTTTTACCATCTTTTCTTACGGCTCCAGAAATTTCTGTCTCGTTAGCATTACTCGTATCTCAGTGACTCAGAGCTGCAAGTGACTGTCGACAGAGTCGGCTAACTTCAACACAGGCATACAACTCACATCTACATCTCACGTTATCACAATGTATTGATTATGTTGGTGGTTATTTGGACAAGTTGTTGAACGTATACTGTATTTCCAACAATAAAGCTTTTTTTTTGTTGGAATTGTTCGGTTTTTGTTCACAACTTAGGGAAGCTTACTTTCTGGATGCGCATCATAGATACGGAATGTATACTTAGTTAAGAAATACTTACTTAAAATTTAAATATTTTTTAAAATCCTAATTTTTCATTTCTTCCATTTCAGGTTGCTGCCTGCGGACGGAATTGAAAAAGGTTACGGCAAGTATATTTTCTTCAGAACGTTCAACTTATTGTTCACTTATTAAAATTATCATTAAAAGAGTCACAATCGTAAGAAAATACAAGTATAAAGAACTACAGTTTAAATTGGCTTTTCAAATACCTTGCAATGCACATAAAATATCTTGTGGAAACTTTCGCTGACAGAGACGCTGAGAATAGATCTTGTGAAACAGGAATATTTGTATTAGTACGTATTCTAGGCATGAGTCAAAGCTGTTTAGTCATTCACACCAAGAAATGTAATGATGCAGCATCGATACGAAATTGAATCATGGTTTGTCGCATACTCGTTACAGTTCTGCAGAGTATTTGTTTATACAATATTAGTTTTTTTTAAATCGTACTAGCAGGCGCTTTATTTAATCTTGGATGGCCTTTCTCAAACAGTTGTAATTATTCTGATTAACTTTATATTTAATTCATTAAAAATTGAAATTTTAAGTACAAAAATAAAAGAATTAGTTATTAAAAAGGTAATTAACTGCGAAGAGATCTAGCCGACCTAAAGAAAGTTACATGCACATAATCTTATTGGGTTATTTATTAGGTTGAAATGTATTTACATTTTACATAGTATTCAATATATTACTAAAGATGTTAGACAAAAAGTTTCCGAACTTCGGCTTGAGCTGATTTGTCCAGAAGCCAGCAGGAAGGGAGGACAGGAATAGTCGTGAAAGAGGCGATGGGACGCTCCCGGTTTGCCTTGGATACTCTGCCGTTGAATTGTTCCACTTAAAATCCATGTGGTTTAGTATATCAAACGAAGCAATAAAGTGAGCTTCAGGGCAAAAAAGACAATAAATAGGAAAAAGTTCGTTTTGTATGTGCACAGCTGAAGTGAAATACTCTCAATTTGACAGTATTTATTTTTGCGGTGCTTTTAATGTAGTATGATATTCCATATGATACGTAGTAAATGATATAGTCGATATAGATGATGCCCGAGTTTCAATAAACATTCTTGTATTCGCGTAAAGGAACTTCATTGGAACCAATCCTCTGTTCAAACTGTTAAGTCGCGATAGTATTCGTTTCAGGCCATCGACCGATACGTGACCCATTTAATTAAACTCGAAGACCAGCTGTAAATAAAATAACCATGCATGCAAATAATATTTGTAAGGAAGTTTTGAAAAGCACCTTTCTTAAATCTCAACAAAACAGATAAAATGCTTCGGGAAGAAAGTAAAAATGACAAACCAGGAAGACACACTACGAGAACAAGTATACCAAAGGTTCGTGAAATGAATGCACATAATTTCTACAAGTTACACAATCACCCATCCTCCTCCCAATTTAGTTTGTGATGCATTAGCGTCAAAATAATTAGTCACATGTCTAGACTAACCATATGCGAAGGAACGGGAGAAGGAGTGGAGTTTTGAGAAACAGAGGCGTCTTGGTCATTCGGTCAATGACGTGACGGGCGGCGACGCTCGCTCTGCCGCCGCCGGCGCAGTCACGTCCGGCTCAGCGTTAGTCACCGCCCGCAAAGGCGCCGGCCCCGCCAATGCACGCTCGGGCGGCCCGTCCGCCGCTCCCGGACCCGCCACAGACACCGCTTCCCCGAATCCGACGGTGGCCCGACGCTGGCCCCGACGCTGCCCCCGAGCTGCCCGCGCGCACGTCTGCCCATGACTGCACAACTCTGACGCTGCAGCAACCTCGACGCTGCCACAAACTGACGCTGCCACTCGACGCGCCTCGACGCTGGCACAACCCTCGCGGCTGCCAACCCTGCGACGCTGCCACAACCTCGGCCTCCAGGACGCTGCCACAACCCTCGACGCTGCACAACCCCCGCCGCTGCACAACCCAGCGTGCACAACCCCGCCCAGCAGACGCGCAGCAGCCCCCGGCCCAGCTCAGATGTTTCGACGCGGCGGGGTGCGGGAGCGGGCCCGGCGGCAGCGCCTTTCGGTCTCGAAACAACACAGGTCGGGCGTGGACGTGAGTTTGCGTCCCGAGCCAGTCCGGCAGCGGTGCTCGCCGGCCTCTTGTTCCTGCACTGCGCGAGCTTCTTCCGCTCGGCCCTGGCCGCCCCCCCCCTGACCGGCCGCCCCTGCCCGCCCTCCCCGCCCCGCTCGCAACCGCTTGCCCCGCCAGTCCGTCTGCTTCGTCCCCGCTCTCGCCGTCCCGTCTCGTTCGTTCCTCGCTTCCATCGGCCTCGCTTGCCATTGCATGCCCTGCCGCCCCTTGCCGCGCGCCCACGAGCGACTTGGCAGCGCGCGCACATGCTGGCGCTGCGTTCCCTTGCGTCCCGTTGTCGCTTTGTCACCTTCCCTGTCAACCGCCCCCACTCCTCCCCGCCTCGCTCCACTCCCTTTCCATTCCATTCCATCTACCGCACTCGCCTTCACCGAACCTCCTCTCCTTCTATCATTCTCATTCCATCCTATCCTACCGCATGTTATTCCACCATAACCTCTCCCCTTGCATTCAATCCTACTGCATTCTATCCTAATACATAATTTTGAATAATCTTCCATTGCATATCACATTCTATTGCATATCAACCCAACTGCACCTTTTGCTCGCTCCTCTGTCTCCGAATTGTTTGCCGTCGGCGTATGCCGTCTGCCATGTCGCGTCAGCCGATCTGTCTTGGAACTTCTCTTCTGTGTATTTGCGAGATCCTATCTCGTTTTTCTCCGCTCAATTGCTCTCTACCTTCTGTTATCGCCCTCTTTCTGCCCCTAGTTCTGCTGCGCCCCTCTCGGCGTAATCCGTATCTCCGGCTCCCTGCACGACCCTTCTTCGTGTTCGGGCTTCCGGCCTCCATTAACTGTCCTCCTCCCCAGGGTGTTCGCGGCGGTTCTTCCCTCAGCCCGGTCTTTCGGTCCGATCTGCAGTGCGCGCGCATCCAACCTCTTACTCTCCGAGCCTCGCTGTTAGGACGTCGCTCTGGGCTACATGCCGCCCTTGGCGTTGCTGCAGTACGGTACCTCTGCGCGTGCTCTCATTCTTAGTCAGGAACTACAAGTGGAATTCTGGGGTGCGCTCCAAGGAATATCCATTCTAAACTGTTTGGAAGGAGGGAGAAGGGCATGCTAGAGCAGGAAGAAACACACAAACTACTTGTATACATTATTTGAATGTGTACTCAAAACTTCACGCCTTCCAAACTGATCGTCTACATCGCCCTTCACCCGGCTCATCTCTATATTTCCCTTCTCGTCCTTTTTTTCTTTAACGATGCCGGCAGGTTCCCAAAATTGATCTTGAATGGTTACAGTCAACTCTTTCACGACTTCCGAGCAAACACGGCAGTCCGACCCCCAACTCGGAAACCCCTGGTTTCTTTTTTGTTTCCCGTCGCCAACTCTGTGCACACATTCAGCTGTCGCCTGCGCGGCCGATCCATCACGCGGAGGCGACGCACCTGAGGTGAGGGGGCCAACAAATCACGCGTTGCTGCGATTCCTTGCGGCCGCGCGACGGTGGGGTTGGCGTCAGAGAGGGCGTTAGTACACCTACTTATAACGAAGGCCGCGGGCAGCGCTGTCGTGCATAGGTCGGCCCGTGCGCGCCGCCCGCGGCTGGCAGCCGGCGCCGCGCAGTGGGTCACAACGCGCACCGGCCGAGGTGGCTCAGGGCAGTGCCTCTGACCGGGAGACTGTTAGAATTAGAGCCCCAACGATGGCAGGATCGTCGACACTTGCCACGCCGAGATCAGCCGCTGTCTGCAAGAGAGTTCTAGCGACCGCCTGCTCCGTTCTGAATAGTTTTACGTGGTTTCTCCGATCAACACCAGGCGAATGTAGCAGTAGTACCTTAAAAAACGGGCCACGCACCGCGCGCGATCTTTCCGTCCTCTTCATTGTCTTATCCTCACCTCTCACACACACACACACACACACACTTACATGCACTACACTACCGTTAAAGTTGGGAGGCGAGATGGGAGCGTAGAGCTTATTCCGGTTGGGGCGGTGTCAAGCTTCTGGGAGATACCCGGAAGAGGGAAATCTCCGCAGAATGATGTAGATAGACTCCAGATCTCACCATCCAGTAGGGGGAAAACACTGCCACTTCGAGTGATAAAAAAACATGCTCTACACTTAAGAGACTTGTGACCATAGCAGTTGATGCGCTAGGAATCACCAATCAAACGAAATTTGTTGATAGGACCTCGAAACGAATTGCAGGTCTGGGTTAAACCCACTTATCGCATAATTCCTTCATATTAGCTTAGCATGACACATCCGGTGGCTGTTATATTAGACGGTTTTATACGAACTACGGAAGTTCATAATAGAAATAAATTTTAAATATAATACAGTGGCATGGATTGCCCTTTTGCGGGAATAAAAAGTTAAAAGATAAAGTATAAATTGTAAATACTTTTATGAAATTTATTAAAAATCTAATGTATTTTTTTCCAATCTTTTGAATCAAACCGTAACGACGTATATTGAACCAGAAAGTCCGTGCAGTTATTCAAGTATTTTCACCACTGTAAGTACTTTCACCTCTTCTCCCTCCAAAAAGCATTTTGCCTGCAATTCATTCAGAATATTTTAGAAGAGCCCGGCTAAAAATTCTGCCAATTAGTCTTGTCGAGATGAATCGAATTGATCACCTCAGCAGGTGCATTTAAACACTCAGAGAACATTTTAGGTGCTTACTCACCCCACAAAAATAGCGTTTTGGGGTAATTCTTTCAGAATGTTCTGGAAGAAATAAAAAAAGCCATGCCCCTAATGCGAATTGATGGCACCGCACTCGCTCAGAGTTGTGGGCCGAATGAGGTGTCTCTGTGAATAATGGTCGGGCACTGGGGCCACACATGGGCAACCCGATTGCGGATGGACATCAGAAATAGTGCAACAAATTGCGGTTGCAGCAGTTCTGCGGTTGCAACAGTTCTGCGTTAGTAGATTCGATTTACTCCGCCCGAAGCACACAGTGGCCCAAGAGCCGCGTTCCAGGGGGCTAGCTGCTGCCTCACGATGACCGTCGGGCAA